AAATTTTTTGTAAATTTCATATTAAAATATTTAAAATTTCCAGCTTCAGCCATTTCCAGCTTCAGCCACGACAATAATTGTTAAAATATAAAAAATATTGCTTGTCTAAAATTATTTATTTTGCCAAAACATTTTTATTATTATTAGAAAAACTTTTTTCGTCTAAAATTTTTGCTTGCTCGATTAAAAACTTTTGCTTTTATTTGAAAACCTTTTTTTTGTTAAACACTAGCTTTTTTTACCCAAAATTTTTTGCTTATTTTTATCCAATATTTATACTAAGCTTTTGACTTATTGTTCGATATTTGGTTGATTAAAAGCCGATATGACGACAAGAATAAACCTTTTGCTTCGCAACGATAAACACCAGGCGTATACATCAATTGCCGTTAATGTTTAATTACGTAACGGTATATCTCGTTTATTAACCTTAACGTTAAATTTTCACAAATAAAATGTATAATATAAACCGGATGTAAGCCGGATTCGGATAACTGAATGAACATCTGTTTATAGAGAAATACAAAGTAGAATTTCTATCCGGATATCCGATTGGATGTCCGGATCCAAGCACTAACTATTAACTTAGAAATTTTATTATTGTTATAATTCTTTTGATTGGTTAAATAAATCAAATAGCTAATTGACGATCTATTATGCATCTCCAGATCGCACCTGGCTTTAGGCGACAGCCAAATATCTCCGCCGAAAGACAGCAACAAAATCGTTAGTCACACGTCGTAACTTCGGCAAATCCTGACTCTGTATCGCTCTTAATAGTATAATAATAAATAAATAAGTAAAAATTGGTCTAATTTTATAAATAAAAAGTAATTAAATGTAGATTAATGCGACTTGAATAACATACAGATTGTAGTCCCTTATAAATGCATTCTTTATGTCAGAAGTTAGATTAACATCTTGTAAACGCTGAAATACTTCAGATATCCATTGCTGGCTGTCATGAGGATACAATTTAGCCAACGCTGTCAATATATCTTCGATGTAATTTTGTTGCAAATCTCTTGAAAATGTATACATAAGCCCTCTGAATAATCCATCAATTAATGCCGAACCGTGTTGACAAAGTATAGTTCCAAGGTTTAATAGATTGGCATTTAACCCAACCGAATGTGATGCGGGTGTTATTGGCGAACAAGTAATATTCCCTGATGCAGGCGATGTTTGTTGCATCTCTTTTACAATGAATGAAAGTAATTTATTGAAAAAAGCCAGAACAGAATGTAAGGCGTCTTGCTGTTCAATTGCCAGACTTGTCAAACCAGCCTGAAGCACTGAAGGAAAGATTGCTGACTGAGAATATGTCAAAGGAGCGCAATCAATAAAAGTAATACTGAGACGAAAATAATCTTCAACGACTGCATATTAAGAGTAATAATAAAGGTTTAAGCAAACGAAAATAAATTTATTTATAGACAAGGAACTCTTCATACCATCTGGAATATCATTAGGTTTCTTCTCAACAAGAAATCGGAACATAGTAACACTTAACCTTTCAAGAAAGGTTAATAATGTCATTGTAGCCTCTGTTCCTTCACCCGTGGAATGCTCACGCACACATTTCCCGGCGACCCACAGATAACAGCTTAAACCCGTTCGATCAAATACGGTAATTATACGATCCATGAATTCTGGAAGTAATGGACGAAACGCCGCCGGATAATACACTATGCAATATTTGAAACATTTACAAAGACTTTCTGATAAATGTGGATCTGCTCCAAAATTCATGAGGAGAAGGTCAAATACGGGCCACAATTCTTGTATAATAGATATGCAAGGATGAATTGGTAAAGAGGCAGTATCTGTTGCATCATCTTTTTTCTGACGATCTGCAAGAACACGTAAAATCATGGAAAATTGTTCAACCTTGTCTTAAATATGTAAATGGTAATAAAGTAAGCAAAGTTAGATACGATATAAAAACGGTTATATGGTTGCAATATTATAATTCTAATTTGTTACCACATGCATTTCTAATGTCTCTTTCGCTTGCTTCTACCCCTTTATTGGCAAGCAAATGTAATCCTTGAGCGATTGGTAAGCAGAACGTTTGCAATGCCTTTAATATTTCTGCCGGGGGAACAGCAGCGACGACATGAGTCACAGCTTCTGTAACTTCGAGTAAGTCTGCTCCATTAAGTTGGTTTGTGACATTAAGGTAAAATGGATGTAGTTGTGGGAGATACTCAACTAATAGCTAATTCGTATCCAGACAGGGTTTAATAAAATAAGCCATCAGACATATAAAAGAATTAAAAATAATTTAAATGTCAAATACCTCACTACAATCTTTACACAAATATTTCAACGCCATTGAGGCAGCCGCAGATACTTCTTCATTGTCAAATCCAGAAGAGATAAAATTCAATTGATATGGGATAAATTGTGAATGTTTCCTTGTCCAAAAAGAATATCGAGAAATGACTAATGTAGCTGCATAACGAATTTTCGGATGATCCGGTAATTGTTGAAGAAGTTGCATAATTTGAGGTAAAACAACATTCTCTTCTTCTGATATCTCTGATCCCATTGCTCTCAATGAGAACAACGGTGCCTCAATTTCCTGCCACTCTAACATATTTCCATTTGCTGTATTCAAAAGTTGATTGGCTAATATTGCGTAAGGTTTTGTTAAACATTCTTGTGAGCCGGCAATAAGACAGCAATCTTTTAGGACATCACCCATCACATGTCTGAACTCTCGGAATTCGTCGCGCCTTTCTGCCGTCCAAGATGAAAGATCTTTAGGGTAGTGTAAATGTTTAATCATAACATCAACTAAATTTGAATATATGGTTTTAAATCTTTCTCGAATGTTTGCATGTCTCGGTTCAAGTAATGTATCGGCCAATTTATGCCAAAAGAAGAAAGTTATTCTGACGATTTCTGTATCCTGATACGCTGCACACTCAGCTATGCTTTCCACGATACTTTGGAATGCATCGGAATGCTGAACGATAAGGTCCAAATATGATTCACCAGCTTGTGTAAATATTCGACAATATCCTCGTACTTTATCTTCATCCTCTTCCTCAATCGCTCTCTTCAGTGACTCTCTCAGAAGAAATAACCGGGGATATATTTGTTCGATCACTGGCATTGAGTCGGGGATGTCCCGCGTTTCATGGATAATCCGACATACTACATCAACAGCTATGTCGTACAATTCGTTCGATTGTAAAGCATCAAATGAATGACCTAAAAATGGATTATTTTCTAAACTAGCGATGGCAATGTCACCAGAATAAAGCCAACTTTCAAAGCATTCAAACACCTGTATTTGATAATCAATATTTTCGCCTGAATACATAAAGATTGTTAGATCTGATAAAATATAACATTATATAACCGAAAAAATTTGACGTTAATTACCCGAATTTTGTAAATAAATCAAAAGCATTTGCAACACCTCATTGGCATTATTAGTTAATAACTCCTTCGATCTTATTTGATATGCTTCATCCTATAACCGCCAAAGTAGAAATATGTAAGAGTGAGATTAACAAATCATGGTATTTGAGTAAGAAATTTAATCTTACCGATATAGGTATACGATTATTTGTATTGACTTCTTCTGGAAGAACTTTAAGAAATTCTAACAAACATTTTACAGTATCAGGGTTTTTACCATATAATTCTGCAAATTGAGGTAACACATTTTGCCACTCGGGCATTTGAAGAGCTAACGCCACGAGAGAAAGACATATCTGAGTAATAATCTTACGAGGACCTTCGCGGTATTGATAAAGCAATTCCAAAAGCGAATCGCGAAGAGAAATTCGTGCAGTACCATCGAGTTGATGTAGGTCGAGCGTTATCTAATGTTAACGACCAATATCAGACGAGATTCGTAATTTGATTTGAGGGACCGATTTAAAATGCGAAAGTTTACCGATCAGAAGCGCGTCAACTTGAGGTTCAATAGTTATGAGACGTATGGGATCCATACCTTTTGCCGAAATGTTCGAGCAGCAAAATATCGCGCCGTTTCAGGTATTACCTGTGATCTTAGTATTTGATCTGATAAAGCCCAAGCTTCTGACTGTAGTTGAGGACGGTATAAAAGAAATTGGTGTTGAAAGTCTTTATAATGCTTGAGACGAATTCGAACAGCGCTTTAGTTGTTAGTTTAGATCTGATTTT